AGCAATAATGGTAGTACCTTCGTACAATAAATCCTTATTATTGGGTTTCCCTACAATTTCTTCAGACTTAATCAAATTTGAAGAACTTACAACCACTCTAGTATGCTACCATTATAATATATAACAGTAAATAAAATTTCTAAAATAATAAATACAACAATTAAAAATAATTATTACTTTTCCAGGATCGCTGGCATCATAATTTAAATGATCTATTAATTGTGAGTTTTCTTCTGTTACTTCAAAACCACATTCTGCAGCTAGTTCTCTGAGAGCAGATCCAGTTGAAGCACCACCAGTAAATAACACATTGCCTAGAATGTAAATGTAAAAGATATTTTGTAACATTAACAGCATAAAAAAAATTAGGAATAGTTACAGTAATCATAGCCATTCAAAATTATCTGTGATTTCAGTTTTACTATAAAATAATAATTATCTTACAGTAAGACTAAAGTGACACAAAAAGAAAGTAATATAGATAATTAGTATCAAGAACAGAAAATTTATACGATCAACCTCAATGGATCAAAAGTAAAAATATTAGGAAGGTAATAATATTTAATATTTATTTAGACTGTATGAGCTTATTGCCAATATAGAATTCAATGCTATTCCTAAATCGTTGTAAATTAATAGTTTTTCTTTAGTACCTTTTAAAGAAGTCATAATTTTATAATTGTTGTATTATATCTGAAAGGGCATAATTTACTTTTTGATAGTTTTCAGAAGATACAAAAAATTTAATATTTTTACCTAATGTTTTATATAACTTATCAAATTCAAATATCAATATCCTGTGAAAAACTACACGTGTATATTATATTGATATCAGTAGATCAGTAGTCATATTGAAACATGCTACAAAATGATGATTTAACTTTATATAGTTCTTTATTTTGTAACAAATTGATTTCAAAATAAAAATAGCTAAGCAGTATAGTTTGTAACTCAAAAATATCTTTTGTTTATAAAATTAATAATTTAAAATTCAGGAATTTTCACCAAATCTTATAAATTTACAAAAATTAAATAATTTCATAAATTGATAACGTCTTACCTCCATTATCTATAAATTCAGTAATGGTATCTACTCCCAATGATCCACCAAATTCTTGAACATTTGGGGCAAATATTATCAAATTTTCATAAAAGTATNCAAATTCTTGAACATTTGGGGCAAATATTATCAAATTTTCATAAAAGTATTTTCCATACTTAGAAAGCACTAAAGAAGGATCGTCAGCTGATTTAAATGTTAATTGATATCCTCTATCTGTTAAATATTAAGATATTAACTTTAACTATTACATAATACATGGCCATATTGGTAACATATATAAGTGTAGGCAATTTTACAAACCTTTAAGAGTTTTAAAAAGTATCGAATGTGTTTCTTTGATCACTAAATTGTTCAACAGTACTAACGTTTCTTTAGATGCATTCGAAAAAGCTAAAAATATTAAAGTAAATAATGTGCACACGTAATAATTTAATAACATTTTATTTAAATAGAATCAGGTTTTAAGTAGAAGAATGACCAGTAAAATATATATTTAATTAACGGTTGAAATTTCTGTAAAAATAATAATTGAAGAATTTTACAATACACACTAGGCGATTCCAATCTAAGATAATACGTATCACAAAACGCCACGATGCCGGTAAATAACAATACTACCAACTTATGTGTGGTAAATGTCGGATGCACAGTATTTGTTATAATCTAGTTGTATTATCACAGCTATATGAAATTCCAGACAATGTGATATTGTTGAAAATACATATTTCCATTGCT